TAAAGTACTCCTCAGGTAACTACTCTCTTTTAAAAGCCTAAAGTACACAACACAGTAACAATCCTTGGTTCACTTCCAGCTGGACATGATGAGAGTACAAAATTCTCGGGTCCTGTAAAGGAAGAGATCGAGTACCTGCCGAACTCCAGCAAGGTAGAATGAACCCGAGACTCTTCATCCAGCAGCTCCCCAGCATCCACCTGCCGTTTATAACGCCTCTGGGGAGCATAAACCTCCTACACCAAAACACAATTTATAAGATATTCAACATATCACAATCTTCTATTATTAAATACAATTAAGAGGAACTAATGGCATATAATTACTGTAGCTGTTTCTCATGGGGGGCAATATTAAATTCAGCAGAGAGACGAAATGTAATACCCAGTCAGCCAAGCATCATAATTCAAAGCTCATGATGTGTTGTTGATGTATAAAAGCTTAGAGGATGAATACTTACACACACATTCACCACAGTACTGATGGCTCTCTCCTTCCTTAATTCAAACTCCTCATCCTAAAACAAACACATTTACTGAGACTTCAAAGATTACAGATTGTAAAATATTTGACACTTCACAGTGTTAATAGCCTGTATTTGTATTTCAGTGTTGGCCTGTTGTCTCACCTCAGGAAATGCATGTGTTTTCTGGAACTGAGAAATGGAATATGACCTGACATAATCTCCCATCTCCTCCCGGGTTTCAATCGCCTTCTTTACCAGCCACTATAGATGCCGCAAAAGATGCATTGTAAGTATTCTTGCACTTTTTTGTCACTATTAAAAAAAACTAATTATACTGGAATTTTGGGGGTCTATATAATGTTACCAAAAGAATTCTTTTTAATAAATTTCAACTTTCTATTCATAAAAACCCTGAAAAATAGGTAGTATGGTTTACACAAAAATGTTAAGCAGCACTGACAATAATAAAGTTATTTTCATTCATAACAATAATGTATTTGAGCACCAAATCAGAATATTAAAATGATTTCTGAAGGATCCTGTGACACTGAAGACTGGAGTAATTAAGCTGTTGGAAATTTAGCTTTACCATCACAAGAATAAATTACATTAAAAAAATTTTTTTAATAGAAAACAGTTATGTTATATTGTAATAACATTTCACAATATTGCTATTTTCACTGTATTCTTCATCAAATAAATGCAGCCTTGAAGAGCAAAAAGAAACTTCTTTTAAAAACATAAAATCATACTGATCACTCAGCCAGGTTTTTTGTAATGTAGGTTTTCAGCTCTTTTAGATGTGAAGGATATGATGGTGTGCATACCTGTACAACAGGGAAGATGTGGATGAAATCCAACCCTTGGATCTGATGAGGCTCTAATCGGTGAGGACACTTCATTTTGGGCAGAACTGACACAATCTTCTCTGTCAGAGCACTTGGAAATGGAAAAGACACAGACAATCGCATTAACCAGAATTCAGCTCAATCTGAACAGAAAAGCTTCTGTCAGTTTTCATACGTTTATTCTACACACTCACATTTTTTGACCAATGGTGGAATTTTCTTGGAAAAGCAGATCAACGTCAATGTCAAAGTTGCATGTAGTTATACACCAGGTCATTCCTCCAACCACCTAAAGTACAAGCAGAGACTGTTCATAAATAAACTAATAGTGTGTCAAACACACTTTAATTTGATTGGTACAGGTGGGTGAAGTCTGCCATACCTTGTCAAAGGGTGACAGTCCCTTAATGCGTGCTCGGAAATAACCAGCAGCGAGCAACAACTCCAAAATCTCAGCAAGCTTGACACTCTGTTCCTCATCCTCACGTGTCTCCACCTGTCAATCACAGCACATACAAGTCAATATAATACAGACTAGTCCAATTAAAACACACTTTAAATCAAAATGAACTCGGGCAGTATAGCCAAACAATTCCAAAAATGCAACTACAAATTGTAAAATGAGCATTTTGCATTTGCAGATACCTCATATATTATACTACACCTGTTATTTATTTTCTTCATGCACATTAATTGATATTACTGTACATTGTGTTACATTCTCCTGACAATAAACTTAAGTTCTATTAAACAGCAGGACTTCTTCACCCAGCAAGACAGAATTATTTACATATCAGGCTAAATGTATTGATTTAGCAAACGCGTTTATCGCCATTTATATATGATGTGTATCATATATATATTATTGTACGTGTACTTTATGTCTCTTTACAAGAAGAAAACAACATGTATACGCTTCTATTTAACTGATACGTTAAAGGGATTGGTTGAATGCATAACCTTAAAAGGAATAAAAGCAGACTGCAAACGCAAATATGCGCATATGAGGGTTTAAGTGTTTTGTTTTCAGTATTACCTTGATGAGATTGCCCTCCTGGTCATATTGGGCTCCGATTTTGGAGCCTGTTCTCACTCTCTGGAACACAGAGGCGGCCGCCATGATGATCACGATGTGTCACGTGAGATGAATAACGTGACGCAAACATTTTTTTATTTTTATTTTTATTGAACAGTATCAATTTACACACTCAAATGGGGAAGAATAAAATGCATATGACAAAATATACACTTTACCAATCACATCTCCGTCATACATAAATGTCCATGTCTCTACATACAATAACAATAAACAAAACAAACATTCTTTAAACATTTGAGGGGGTTCCAAGAAAAAATAAAGGGTACAAAATCTTACCAGTCTTAAAAGTAAAGAGACTCATACATGGTTATATATAATTCCCCAAGGGATTGATTATCTTTGGATAAGTCTTTCTAAGTATTTTTACATTCATTTTTAAAGCAATTTAAAGAGGGTTTATTGTTATTCCACTTACTTTTGTGTATGTGATATTTACCCATTGTAATAATAATGTTTAACATCAATGACATGTTTTTCGAAAGACAAAAAGCAAAACCTGAAACAAATTCAGTGATGGAATATCAGTGTTGATATCAATATTTAGCCAGCTGTAAAGATCCTGCCAGAACTTCAATGTGACTGGACAAGAAAAAAATAAATGTTCAATGGTTTCAGGCTCTTCTAAACAAAAAACACAAGGATCCACTTCAAAACGGAATCTTTTCCATAAAATTTCGGCAGCTGGATACACATTATTAATAATCCTAAACTGAACAACGTGACGCAAACATTGTCACAGTCAAAACGGTTTGCTACTAAACAGTATGAGTGCAATATGAAGAACATTTCTCACTTGCTCAGCTGTCAAACATCATTGACATTACCGGTTTAAATATTTGTTTAATAAAGCAAATTAAATAAGTGAAGACGTGAGTGTTTTGGTCTTTTATCAGTTCTGGTGTTTGTTTTTATGGCTAGAGCTCAGAGATGTGATACTGCGTCAAGTGGCAAGTGGCAAGACAAAGTGGCTGTTCTGTAGACTTGTGATTAAATTAATTTGTTTATTAAGTCATCATCTATCAGTATGTTTTTTATACATTAAATATTTGTACTTCTTGAGTGCAGGATATATACATGTATAGGCAGAGTCTAGATTTTTGGTGAATGGACTAGTTTGTACCACAATGAATTGTATTCTTGTTACAGAGGACGTGACAGTGACCTTAGCTGACTTCCTTGTCCTGAAGAGTTCATTCAGGGCTCAAAGGACCAAAACCCATGAGGACGATCTCTGTGCATGCTGTTGAATCCATTCTGCAAATAATTTAAGCTATTTATAAAGTACCCAAACAGTGATTAATATTATCCATGTGGAATATTACCTAATGACTAAATGACAGATTATATTTAGTGAAGCACCTACAATTTATCATATCAACTAATCACAAAATCTGCATTTAGGTTTTGCTTTGTTATGTATTTCCTGCACGTATGTGCAATATTGCTAACATGCATTTTAATAGTTCTTGTTCCAAGTGGAAATTTAAGAAATATAGTCATATAAATTTAAACCAATATGATGGCTGAAGCGCCTTCAAACAAAAGTCAAATCAAGAAGCTGATTTATTGATTTAAAGCCTACGTTTAACTTAAATGTTCTACTTTTGTTTAATTTGTGCAAAAAAAGCAATGCAAATGCAAAAACGATTCAGTGTGTGAAATGTGCATGATAGCCAAATCATTTATTTGTATTGAGAAATAAAGCTAATAGAATTTAACTTTAAATATGTATACTCAGCATTATGATATTTCCGCTTATATGTCCTGATGGTTTTAAATTGCTGTGGCGATATTAGCTCTCTGCTCAACAACAAAAAAGCTTCTAAAACTATTTGCAGTCAAGACGTTGATCTTAGTGTTTTTAAACCAGAATGTTTTGCAGCAAGTATATAAGTTTTGACAGCATTTCCATGCTTTGCTTGTATTTGTATCTTTCCTCATTTGTAAGTCACTTCTGCCAAATGAATTTATATAAATATAAATGTAAATGCATGTTGTGCTTGGTAAAGACTTCACCATTCTGTATATCCTGCTGATTTAGTATGCTTGGCTGTCTAAATAGGTTTATAATTCAAGTATGGACTGACATTAGGAATAAACTGTCAAGGGAGTGTCCCTCAAGGCTGTGCATATTGTGCATAATTCTGTCTATTTATAATTCTATAATTAATTTATTTATTGTAATGTGCATTGTACAAATTGGAATAAACTGTCAAGGGAGTGTCCCTCAAAGTTGTGCATAATTCCGTGTATTTATAATTCTATAATTAATTAATTTATTGTAATGTACATTGTACAAATTGTGTCTTTTGTGTAATATTATATGTAGACTTTTAATATTTTATTTGGTGTAAAATTGTTTAAAATTCATGAATTGTTTATAACGTAGACTGTTTCTAATTTAATGTAGAATAATTTTTTTATGAAAATGATTTTTGCTGTAATTTTTGCAGGAGCAAACACACAGACTATTGCATCTAATAAGGCAGGGGGGGGAAAGGAAAAGTGGGAGTGTCTAGGAAGGAATGAGGCAGAGGAAGGGGTGTAAGAAGGAGGCTGGCTGTACATCACAGTGGAAGGAGCCTGGACTGCAGCTCTGTTTTCACTGTCCTTCGCACACAGCAGAGCCCATCCTTCCGAGTAGCTCTTTCAGTTCCACTAGATGTCCATTCATCAGTCATCCTTTAATCCGGTGAGTTCTCTTTATCCTCTTTTTCTGTGTCACTCCTCAGTATTTTGCTTTAGTCTGCAGCCCTCTCCAGTCTCTATTTGCTGTGTGTTTACAGCATTACTTTGTCAGCATTTACTATTATTAGGGGCTCACATTAGAGCATAATATGGTCTTCATTTGCTCTAAGACTCTGTAACTACTGCAATATTTTAGGATTGTGTTAAGGCACATTTAGAAGAAAAAATAAACCCTTTTTTTTTTTTTTTGGCTAATGGCCTCATTTAGGGTTCTAATCAAAGTGAAGTCTGGTAATGCTATACAATATCCATTTATTTAATGCCAAATAATGGCTGGAAAGCGCAAAATTAGATTCTACTTTATCCACTTGGGATATAACAGAACATAAAGATGATGCCAGCAGAGGATCTTGTGGATCTCAGAGACCTATTTAGCCATGACTCATGATTCGCCTGACTGCACCGCTTTACTTCTGTCTGAATGAACAGGCATTCTCCATTTGTTTTGGAGAAATTAACTAGAAAGTTGTCTCCCCATTGTAAAATAGGCTACAATGGTTATGCAATCAGCCTATTTCTAGATTTTATTTGGCATGTCTGGGATTTCACTGACAAAAAAGCTTTGAGCTCTTGTTTCATCATAGTGCATAAGGAGTGTCATGGAAATTCTCAATACGAATACATCTTACTAATCTTACTACAAAACTAATCTGACTTCTCTAGCACGACCTCCAGTTGTCAATAACATAATACAATACTACAGTACCAATTCACTATCATCCAAAACTTCCCTTCCAAAAGTATGGTGATGGCGTCTCGTCAAGAAGCTACTATCACTACCTCAGACTAGACCTGCACTCGCGGGACTCAACGCATCAAGCTGCGGCGCGGGACAACTCTTGATGGGGCGACAGGAAGAGACTCGTGTGTGTGCGGGATGCGGGAGAATAAAATGATTCGCCGGACTCCCGCAAAATAGAAATTATCTAAACATAAAGTGTCTAAAACATACAAATTGTTATTTATCTGTTGCACAAAAGCAAAAAGAACAACTAATATTAAAATGATTGACATGCGCAAGCTATGCATAGTTTCTATTTATAACACGTGTTTAAAGGGTTGCGCAATGTAGCCAATCACATACTCAGCTGTTGATTTCTGGAACGCAATGGCCAATCAGAGGCGATTAAGTTAGAATCTACTCACCGCAGTGCTGAAATTGCGTCCTCTCATTTTAAAACACGGAGTGTAGACACTGTGAAAGATTCATTGTGCATATATTTATTGTGTTATAACAGAGCTTTAGCTTGAGATGTCAGCTTTTAGTGATAATAAAGTAAGTGCGCCGCTGGCATTCTGCCATGCCAAACCAGGCACGCAGCAGCCCATGCTTGCTTAAGCATCAACATTCTCAAACCACTATTTTTAACAGAACATTTTACAGACAACTAAAAATCAAGTCAGGAATCTTGGTGTGATTCTGGAGACAGACCTTAGTTTCAGTAGTCATGTCAAAGCTTTAACTAAATCAGCATACTATCATCTCAAAAACATTGCAAGAATTAGATGTTTTGTTTCCAGTCAAGACTTGGAGAAACTTGTTCATGCCTTTATCACCAGCAGGGTGGACTATAGTAATGGTCTCCTCACCGGCCTTCCCAAGAAGACCATTAGACAGCTGCAGCTCATCCAGAACGCTGCTGCCAGGATTCTGACTAGAACCAGAAAATCTGAGCATATCACACCAGTCCTCAGGTCCTTACACTGGCTTCCAGTTATATTTAGGATTGATTTTAAAGTACTTTTACTCATTTATAAATCACTCAATGGCCTAGGACCTAAATACATCGCAGATACAGGTGCATCTCAATAAATTAGAATGTCGTGGAAAAGTTCATTTATTTCAGTAATTCAACTCAAATTGTGAAACTCGTGTATTAAATAAATTCACTGCACACAGACTGAAGTAGTTTAAGTCTTTGGTTCTTTTAATTGTGATGATTTTGGCTCACATTTAACAAAAACCCACCAATTCACTATCTCAACAAATTAGAATATGGTGACATGCCAATCAGCTAATCAACACAAAACACCTGCAAAGGTTTCCTGAGCCTTCAAAATGGTCTCTCAGTTTGGTTCACTAAGCTACACAATCATGGGGAAGACTGCTGATCAGACAGTTGTCCAGAAGACAATCATTGACACCCTTCACAAGGAGCCACAAACATTCATTGCCAAAGAAGCTGGCTGTTCACAGAGTGCTAT